GAACTCGGTGCAATGCAAGTGGGACGGGCACGCTGATTTCTCGAATACGGTACACTCGAAATGTGTTCACGTGGGTACGCCGCCCACTGTTGCTTGGTGTCATGCGAGGGAATTTGCGAGCCAGGAACGTATAGCTAATTTAGAGGGGTGGGGAGTGAGGCAGTCACTTACATGCCTGGAAAGCTGGAATTTGTGAGCTACTTCCATAGGTCTCATCAACCATAGCAGGGGGCACCAGTCCCTACGTACATACATTTCGCGCCTACCGTGTTCAAAAAATCGACGTGCCCATCCTACTAGCATTGAACCAGGAACTGTTTTTATTAACCATAAAAATAAAGAAAAAGAAATTATTTGCTGAAGCCATGGAAAACTTGATCACCGTGCACTCTTACCATGTTGGACCCCACGCATATTTTACGTTTTGCGGCCGCGTGGGACTTCAGTGAAATTTTTAGGAATCTTATCAAGCAAATTGAAAGAAAAAACCTACTGTATGATGCAGAAGAAACCTTATCGAATGAAATGGAAAGAAAAAAAGAAAACTCAATATTTGTTTCCAAAATATGGGCTGTAAGGTCCTACGCGGTCGACGGACTGCAGCCCACATATGGGCTGCATGGGCTCCAAGGTCTTAAAAGATCTCACTCTAGGTTTTAATTGCAATTTTGTTACCAGTTTTATTTTTCGGCAGCCGCTGGGCCAATACTTCCCTTGCAGACACTCATGCCGTGGGGTGGAGGGAAGGGGCATTCGAAATAGGGCATCTGAAAACCGCTGGCAGGTGATACTAGGACTACATAAGCCCAAGAGAAATGGAGGAACATCAGGGAGAACAAGATTTGCTGACATGCTACCCGGGTACTGTGAATGACTCACTCACCAAATGCCCCTTCCCCCCCCCCCCCGATGACAGGACTGTGGGCATACTTTGCGCCTTCCGCTGTGATGATTTCACTTGTGAGATTGAAAGTTCTTGGTGGGGATGGGCATAGTACCCAGGAAGTTTTATAGCAATCATACCATCGCGCTAACTTAATCTTTGAAGAATTTTTTTTTTTGGGGGGGGGGGTACGTTTCCTTTCAAATATTTTTTGTGTTCTTTGCAGGTGGGATTAAATCGGTGGGCGAAAACAAGTACGGCGTCGCTTCTCAAGTTGTGAAGGCGTCTACCGGAGAGAGCGTGTCCAGACGAAAAAAAGTTAATTGTATGAAGGAAGATTTTGCATCCCCTCAAAATATGAATTTTTAATATGTGCTTTTTTTAGGACTGTGTTCTACAACATCGCGTTGAAAATCAATTCGAAACTGGGTGGTGTTAATCAAGCGGTGGTTTTCGACAAGGAATCCAAGTACGATTTTTCAGCTGGCGCTCTCCCTCGCCATGTTGGGCTTCACGTTGGTTTTTTCCAGTTCTGCTGAAGTATCGCCGAAAGAAGCTGCCATGTATGTGGAATCCGATGATATATCCCACCAAACTTAGAGTCAGATGACATTTCATGCGAGATATGTGGCGATGTCGATTTGGCGCAAACACCGGTAGACCGATGTCAGACTTTGCATCGCGCGATTCGCTAGCGTCTGCGGTCGCGTCGCGGCCAGTGAATCACTCAATTGGCTGGTACCGCAACGCTAGCGATCGCTAGTAGCGAATCGCAGAGTCATGGGTTCTCCAGAAAACAATAGCCTCGTTTATTGGTTTAAGCTACACCAATGAAATCATGGCACAAATGGCGGCCAGGGAAACAGTTGAACGTTTTGAGACGCAGTTCGGGCGATTGATGACAAGATTTCACGAGGTGCGTTCCCACTATTGATTTACTGAAAAGATTAAGCTTGAATGTGAACATTTTCAGCATTCAAAAGTACTGGGCCACGCACATTGTCATATTTCGCGAGGGGGTCAGGGATTCGGAAATGGTGAGGACCGCTTTTGTCGAGCTTGAATGCATTCGGTAGGTACTACCTTCGTAGTACAATATTCTTTCATGCGCCCTCCTTCTTCCCCTCTGATTTCCTACAACGGAGTAGGGTGACGACGTGAGGGGGAAGCCGCTATATTGTTTATTGGAACAGAGATTCAGAGTCATCTAGGGGGCGGAATAGCACGTCGCTGCGGGTGCTCCTTTCGTCAAAAAAACGCACCCTTGAGTCTAGAGAGCCCTGCCTCCTCACAATAATGCCCTTTTGTCAACATCCAATTTACCGTGTCACATCCCTTTCAAAGGCATGCTCCGGGATTAGGCACGCTCGCCTGTTCCATACCGGGGTAGTAGGCAGGCGGACAAGCGTTGATGTCGCGCCCCTTTTGCGGCTTGAAAGTGCGCGACAAAGGCGCTGGAAGCTCGTCTCGACCCGCAATCCACACCTTCGTCCGCAAGCCCCGCCTTCCTGCCGGTTGCCACGTGACGCTGCTTGAAAAGCGCGGGCGCAGTTGCGGCAGCGGTTCCATTGCGGTTCAGTGTAGCACTGGAGCAACTGAGGCTGGACTAAACTCGTCCAACACGCCCTTTCTCTATCCCAAGGTGGAATGCGGCTGAAATGAAGGGGGTCCTATTCGGCATATCGGGGGTTTCTCTTGCTTTTTTCTTCTTTTTCAGAACCTCCCCATCTTCTGTGAAGGTTGCCCTACACCTGTTTTATCCCAAAACTTGCCTTTAAGTAGCTTTTCGAAATGTATGGAATAAAGTTTTGTTGGAGGTCATTCAAGCACCACTCAGCGGTTTATATTTGCACGAGCAATAAAAGGCAGCGGTTACGATAGAGTAAAGAGGGTTCAAGGAGACGTGGTGGTGCTAATGGTGGCGAAAAAAGAGAAATCCGTCAAGAAAACGCAAAACGGGACCCCTTTTTTGGCCGTTGGTTTTCACTCATGAACAGGTAACAGCTCAGAAAGCGGACGTATGAACGAGTTCACCGCAACGCGTTTGGTGGCACCATGCCAAACCACGCTCCAATCGAGTTGCTCCAGTTGTGCCGCTGCTGGCAACTCGTCCAAATCACCAAGTAAACTAGTGGGCGGATCGCTTTGGGGGCGGAGTGCTTTCGAAGTCCTGCAGTATCGCTTCCCCAATGTGCTCTTCATCGTAATCGCTGCCTTCAAGTGAATTTCCAAGTTCGGTGGCGGCCATATCGTGTGAGGGCGGTAACTTGGTTTGTTAATCATGGTTAGAGTTGCTGGGACCAATATCAAATTTCATTCCTTCATGATGTAGGAGGTCCACAAAAATTTCGTTGAAATGTTTGTGCCCGACCTGTTATGGAACCCCTCTAGATACTGCATTAGTGAAAAAGGTTCAGAAGCAAATGTCCATTGCGAGGTGAAGTCTCCTCCAAGTCGGTCCGACTACCCGTCTACAAATAGTCTGTCCCTATTGTGCTCGATATAAAGGTCCCATCGATAGATAGGGTCCAAGATGGATTAAACTATTTGTGGATGGGCAAAAAAGCATCCACACTGAGAATACAAGCAGAATTCCCAACTATGGATAGTATCGCGATTTTGCTTAATCACTTTAATATCATCCTCCTTCAGCAATTCGTGAAAAAACTATACGTTTGACGATCCGCAGCTGGAACCAACATTCACCTACATAGTCATTCAAAAGCGACATCTTACGCGCGATTCTATTCAAACCAATTACAAAGACGAACAAGGACAAGAGACGTTAGTTTCCACTTTGAAACCAAATCTTCTTATGACCTTCCAGATTATTTCTTTACAAAGGTTGGCTTCTTCTGTTGCACAGTGAATTGTTCTACCCGCTCGCCAAATTGTAGCTGAACACTGGAATTCAAACAGTCGTTCGAAACAGTCTGTTTCTGTGGTGGAGATAAAGTAGGCCATGATAGGCACTATGTGCGTTGAACGTAGCGGTTGCACATCCCGGTAATGAGAGATGCGGATCCTGTTCTGTCTGGAGCGAAACTTTATTATAATCCACAATTTTTGTGACCTTTCGCACCTGGGCAAGTACGCCAACAAGCAGCGTTAAACTAATAAAAACCAGTATCGATGTGATAATAACTTCGTATAGCATACATTATACGAAGTTATACGAGATCCATTCTGCGTGCAGAGTAGGATGCGTGACCCATCCAGCAACTAGTGATTGCCGAATGATTTTTCCTTTATTCCTTGAATTTTTTATCTTTGTGGATTTTGTTCAGGTATGTGAATGTGTCATCTGGCACCGTTGTCGATAACAAGGTCGTGTCGCCACAATTCTTCGACTTTTACTTGGCATCTCAAATAGGAACCTTGGTAGGTCACATGATTTATAAATCTGATCATTGCTGCTATTCTATTTAATCTACCTTTGGAACAGACTCGTTCCAGCGGCATTACCTGTAATTATGTGAGAGTGGAAGCGCAGCACGGTAGGCTTTATGTGGGTTTGGCTGCTCCCAGATTTCCTTGTATTAGCAATAGTAAATATTACAGGAAATGTGTTATCGTCTCTGCTTTTTGTACGCGAGATGCCGAATTCCTGTCTCTTTACCATGTCCAGTCTATTACGCACATCGTGTTTGTGAGAAGGCAAAGGATGTTTACAAAACACTTCTCGCGTAAGGAGTTACATGTTTCCACTTCAAACAATCTACTGTTTTCACAAAATAACGTATAGATTACTGTACCATACTGAGAGGGTGCACTCAGAGGCTTTGCGCTCTGGAAACGTTTCGAAAATCAATTTTCCCTATTATTAGTAGAGTCATCTATAAAGACGAAGGTGCATCATTAACATTCCCATGAGCTTTGAGATATGATGTAATACCAAGCAATGAGGTTCTACTCATGACGCACTGCTGTCTATTTGGGTGTTACGAAATTTGGTATTGCTGAAATATCCCCTATGCCAGATGTCAGACTTGGCGAATCGGACGGTTTGCTACTAGCGATTCGCAAAGTCTGACATCGCTGTAGAAAGGGCGGGTTAAAGGAATCTTCCACGGAAAAAGCTCCGCCCTCATTACCACAGAAAACGATACCTTAAAGGAATCTTCCACGGAAAGAGTGATCACTTGTGTGTAGGATTAGTATTATCGAAACTAACGCTTATGTTCCGTTCTTTTTGCTATGCTCATGAGGCTAGGGGCCTAAGGGGTATCGTTTTTCTGTGGTAATGGAGGCGGAGCTTTTTCCGCGGAAGATTCCTTTAAAGGCACAACCCAGGCAGAGGTCGTGTGAACGCTTCCCTTCGGTCTGTAGTATAGACCCCTAGAGGACAAGCGTTCCCGTGCACGGAAACCAACCGACAAGAGCGCTTGGGCCTTGCAAAGTAAGCTGCTGAAGCTGCAGATTTTTTCTCTTATCAGGCTGTTGTCTGGCGCTCTCTCATCTGTAGCGCTCTCTCGCCTCATACTCTCCTCTCCGCGCTTAGTCTCTCATTCCCTTAGCACAGCCGATTAGGAAGGTGAGTGACCCAGCGTTTTCGACGGATTCTTTTCTTTTTCTCTTTACTGCACACTTCACATTCATGTGCAAGAGTTGCACCAATGTGATCCAGGGCCATACTTTTAAGTTCAGGGAATCGTTTAGCAGATTCGCAAGAAGGAATCATTCGTTGTTTTAAGACGCACTACAGAAGTACAAGTGTCGTCCTGTATGGCCATATGGGGGCCTTCCCCTACCTCACCACGGTGGGTAGAGTACGCACGGAGTAGGCTGCGCTGGAAATGAAAACTCCTAAACGAATTTCAGAATAGTTCGGAGACCGGTGAAAAGTGGACAGGAGCCAGTGGAAGAAAGAAAGTGAACTTGTTATGCCGAAACGTGTGGCATGGGCTCTTATTTCAAAACACGATGTAGCCCTCTGGCAGTTCAACGTTTCGATGCAGAATCCCCCATAGTGGACTGTGACAGCGACCACAATGGAAGATCCTCAGCAAAAATGGCAGTTACTGCGGCGTCGCGTGTCGACATAAGGCTGGTGTCAGAGTCCGCGAAACGTCGCGCGAATCGCTAAAATCGAAGTGCCCCATTTGAACATCATTCAACCATCACCATCAAGCAGAAATGGCGGCGGGATTGGCTAGCATCTCGCAGTATTCATCGGGCACTTGCGATTTCTGTGAACCGTCGCGCGACGGACTCTGTCACCAGCCTAACAGCCCATACCCTGGGAATGTGCCCCAGTGGGCAGAGTTGTAATCGACATCTCCTTCACGTTGCACTGCTCTACAATCGTGAAAGGCCTGTAATTAGTGTACACTGTAATGGATGCAGTCAAACGGGTATGCAACACGTATAACTGCAAAGCGGTAACGTGGTTCAATCGACTTTTCTTAGGTGGGGGGGGAGACTTCAAGGCGGGAAAGTGTCTAGGTGGTTGGGGAGTTTGTGGGACAGGGGCTGCGGCCGCCGCGGAGCGCGGCACGTTTGGCTCTTCAGTGAAAAAAGGCAAATCCATGTGCCAGAGGGAATCTAGGCAGTTCAGAGGGTGGGAGGAGTCCTTTGGGATTCGTGAAAACCTGGGAGATGGCTCGTGAAAGCATGCCTGCCGCCACTGGGGCGTAGCGACAGCTCTACCCCTCCCCCCCCTCCAACTACTTTAGCCCGGCAAGAGGGCTGTGCTGTGTGGTGGCATTTTCGGGAATCTGAGTCACATCGCAAAGGTATGTACCAACGATCGCAAGCACCGCTTAAAGGACGAATTCACGATGAAAAAGCAACCCATTTCAAATTAACCTAGGGATGGTGAGTGGTACACGAAAGAAGGAAGAACCATGAGAAACGGCCCAGAACCCGAGAAAAGAAACGGGACCCCTTCCTTGCCCGTTGATTTGCGCATTGATGCGACTCTCATCGCTGTGCCCTCTTCACCCACTTCTCTCCGCGCTATCTGATCAATGGTCACGCATAGATAGACCTACGGCAAGCGATCGGCTGGTCGGTGGGGGCGTGCACTGGCCCTTGCGCCAAAAATTGAGCCTTAATAAGTCGCCGAGGTCAACTTCTTTGGTGCCAATCGCGCTTCAGTCAGCACCTCTTAGGAGGTCCGCGGGTCCCTCAACTAGGTGGATCACTCCTTCTTCGACTTTCATTCTAATCGTGAAATTCGTCTTTAAGGCTACATTCTGATCTATTCGTTTGTTGTAATGCTTCTTGTTGCATGGTTTGAATTTTTCCACCTAGTATTGAAGTATAGAATACAGTATATATTTAATTTTGACCAGTACTTGGGTCCAGAAATACAATAGTAAAATTAAAAAATTCAAAACTACAGCAATCTATTATTAATTTTTGTAAGCAATTATGTTTTTTCTCTGGATTGCTGATTATGAAAAACAGTAGTCATATAAAAAAAACTACTTGTCTCTAGTGGGTGCTTTTCAGTGCTCACATCTTTGATGGTTTCACCGAACAGGAGAAGAAGCAGAAAATTGAAGAATGTCTAACTGTACCAGAGAACTACCCGGGATGCACTTTGTCTAGCTTCTGTTGTTCAGCGATCAGTTTTTTACCTCCTTATTTGTGGGTTTGACTGTTTTTCATTTTTCGATATCACTGATTATCATTCTCATTGACATGTTTTGTTATATCCTTCTTAATTGATATTTCGGTAGCATTTTATTTCCTGAGAAGAGACGATTTTTTAACCTCTAGTCATATTTAGTTAACACTCACAGCATCGAAAAGTTCTTTCGGAATAGTTTGTTTTCTGGCGCAGCGGTTTTCGGCAGGGGTACGGGTACGTGTGTGGAACCAGAACTGTACTTCATTGTCCTGGGTGGCCCTCTGGATACCAAAAAAACCGGGGTGATGAACTGATCCGTGGTTGGAATCCTGGCGCTGACAGTTTTTTTGACTTTTGTTGTTGCTGTCGTTTTAAATTCCCGCAAAATTGTAGTCATGGTGAACAAATATATGTCATGTCTATAATGAGGACCATCAGCAAACTCTATTTGTAGACTTGGACTAAAAAAACTGGTGAAGACGGCAGTTCCTTAGGAGATTTTTCTTCCCTCCTTTTTTGGCAATCAAAGGGCCGCTCAGGAGAAATGAACTACAATTTTAAGTTCTTTGCAAGGTTCTCCCTATATCATGCAAAAAACCGTTTTCAGAAAGCTCACCATTTCCTGAAAGACCTCCCTGAGTTACTTTCTCATAGAGAGGTTCAACTATCTAGTTTTCTTGCTCACTATTTTCCTTACGTTTCTACTTTCCCACAAATTATGCCAATATAGAACAAACTGAGGTGCTCAGTAGCAGGTGGCGTTGCCATAGTACGCATCGTCCGTGGATCGGATCCTGGTACAGGTTGGCATGAGTGTCAAACTCTTTTGTATAGCTATGTACTCGTTTATCGGAAGCTAACTTTGTCGTATATGTTGAGTACCTTTTACGATTGCTTTTTAACAGTTACGCTATTGTAAGAACAATATTTGAATTCGCCTTTAACACGTTGACGACAGCCCCTTATGCGTGTACCTCGGCAACTTTTTGTTTATTTTTTTCACAATCGTCATAACTTCTTCAATAATTCCACTACTGGTAATTGACTCACAGTTTTTCGGATAAGATAACGCATGCACACAGTTTTGAAATATGAAAAAGGCCAAATAAACCAAAAAAACTAGAGAATCGGGTGAAATTCTGACGCGCATGCGCGTCATGCTGTCGTCAACGTGTTAATCCATTGCGGACCGCGTGCTGCACCATGTGCAGCACGCCACCACGCGGAGAAGGACAGTAATCTTCGATTTTTTCAGCATTTTGCTAAGTTACAAATCATCAGTTTACTTTTTTGGACACAGGATATATCACTTATTGCATACTGGTTAAATTTTTGATAGGTCATTGGCCACTGATAAAACAGATGACAAAAACCTACGGAGGTGCAATTATAACGGCGGTCCGCAATGGGTTAATCTTGTCGTTTCTGTTTTCCTTCTCGCTAACATTTCACATTTATAGTCGCAGCATGATGTAGTTGATGTATTTAGTTTCTGTTCGAACGTTTTACGTTGCTATTTTGATACCGTAGTCAATTTGTAGGTTTCGAGATACGTTGTCATTGAGGAGATTACTGGCAGATTTATGTAATTGTTAGGTATTCCGAAGTATATTTCACCAATAAATATGCTGAGAAAAGTTAGAGTTGGAGAGGGTATAAGAGACGCTGGTAGTTACGTTGCACGGTACCATTTCGGCTATCTGAGCCTTTTATATTTTGGAGACCAGTAAGACGGTTCCAAATTACTCTTACAAAGGGGATGTTTCAGGGCAAACCGCAACTCTTTTGAAACGCTTTGCATATTGTAGGACGCGTAGAGACCACAAACATGTTTTCGGTTCACGCTTTAATGCTTTAGCAGCGTTTCTAAAAAAAGTTTGGAAGATACTGCTTGCTGGTTCGATCTTCCGTGGCGACTAAATTTTGCATTTGAGGTTGGCGGCCACGGTTTGATGAGAAATGGCTCTGAATATCGAGGTTAGATATCATGTCATGGTTAGGACCATATTGAGTCTTCAAAATTGTAGCTGCCAAAATTCAGTAACTTCGGATCGCAGCTATCCACAGGCTAAAAATAAGGCATGCGTTTTATGATCCATACATGCGTCCCTTC